CCCCCCCCCCCCCCCCCGGAATGTGAAATTTGAAGTATGGAGTGTGTTTTGTCATTGCTGACAGTGATACAAATGGATATGCAGGATTAACATTGTTGGAATTCCGAGCAAGGGTCGAGTCTGATCCATATGGAGCTTTAGCTAATTGGAATCCTAATGACTCCAACGCGTGCGCCTGGTCTGGTGTTCATTGTCTGGATGGTAAAGTGCAAATGCTGTAAGTGCCTATTATTTGTTCTACATTACAGTGTTTAGTTATATCCAAGAACTTTTGTTGCCTATCTTAGTTGATGACATCTTGATTCAGTTGTCCCTTGAACTAATGGAAACTAGTTCGTGAAAAAGAAACAGAAAAAGACAGGCAACAAACTCTAACACCATATTGATAATCGAGTGCAGAATAGCTTGTTTTTCCTTATTTTCTTGGTCAGTAGAGGGCTTGTTGTTCTTGTTTCTCAGTTGTTAGAGGTTTAGTTCTTAGTTTCTTACTCAGTAGAGGGAACGTTCTTATTATCTTGGTCAATAGAGGGCGGCTCGTTCTTCTAATTTTCTTGGTCCTTAGTGGTTGTTAAATACCAAATGCTGTTGATAACATTATTACTTTGATGTACAAAAAGGTGTATTCCAGATTTATATATTTTTGTTCTTTGTATAGTGATCTCAATGGATGCTACTTGGAAGGAGTATTAGCAACAGCGCTCGGAAATCTCTCTCATTTACAATTTCTGTGAGTATCAAATTTGTTTCTGCGTATTCTGTTGTTAAAATTGCAAGTTTACAGCTTGAGGTTTTTTGAGATCATTTGGAAAGTAGTAAGTACCTGATTCATAAACACACACTATCTCCTGTAAGTTTGACTTGTTTTGCAACGACTTGAAGTTTCCCCATGAACGGCTAACTCAATATAAGCATTATACCACCCTTATTTATGATTCTGCAAAAACAAACTTAAAGATAGTGCTTGGCTAATTATTGACCATATAGTTTCTTTGTTTTCATGTCCTAACCGTGTTGAGGTTTGTCTATTTTTAATTGAAAAAAAAAAAAAAAAAGAAGGAAAGAAAGGAATTGTCTGGAATCTTGATTCTGGTGAATTTTTTCTGTAGATGGATCATCAAATTATCATTTTTTGGCTAAATAAATATGCCAAATATACTCTACATAGCTGGTCACATGGCAATCATTTAACTTGAATAATAGTCTCCTTGAGCATCTTTTTTTGCTCCGTGAAATAACGCTTAAACTTTTTGACATTGCTCCTCTCCAAAGCTGTCATATTAATTTATGGGCAATCTAGTGTTTCTGTTTTACTTCTTTCGAAAACGAACCAATTTTATTCAAAGAAATCATGTTACGAAAGGCATATGTACGTGATTCTCTTTGTCAAAAGACTGAAAACATTGTTTGTGCCTGTAACAAATCCATGCTACTTGTCTGAGAATTGATGTTCCTGATGACACTTGATTGACATTTTCATTATGGCTACAAATTTCTATCAGTATTAACAATTGTTGCCATATGCTTTGGGAAAATTTGTAATGTACTTACAATGAAGAGGAGTGTGGATAATAAATTGTGATAGTTCTGAATGTGTGGTTTAAATTAATGTTCGATTTTGACTTCTAATTATAGGAGATTATAATGAAACCCAAACTTGCACAATGATTATAATATCCCAAAAGCTGCAGGTATAAATACCAATGTGACAAAACAAATAGATTACAATTCCCAGAAGTTATACTTGAGGATTGTTGCTATCAGGACCTCATTTTAAGCCATTATAATATCTCAACGTCTGTTCTAGACTTTTCTTTTAAACTTTTTCGTTCTTATCTTTTTGATCTTACAACGTCCCTGATTAACAGCATCTGATTGTGTCATCAGTGACCTCTCCAAGAATCAATTTTTTGGCATAATTCCTCAACAGTTTGGACTGCTTACAACACTAGAAGTGTTGGACTTGAGGGATAATAATCTGAGTGGAATTATTCCTGTAGAATTAGGAGGGCTGCATTCACTGAAACGCCTGTGAGTTTTCATCTGCTAATGGTTTAGTATAAGATTAATATCATCAACCTAGCTAAAATCTATTTTTTCTTAGGTTGCTCTGTAATAATAGATTTGAAGGAAGCATTCCCTTGGAGATTGGAAAACTCAGTTCGCTAACTGATTTATGGTTTGATGAGAACCTTATAGCTGATGTTGCCAGGGGATGCATAAATAGAAAACTTGGGCACTGGTAAGATATTATAAACTTCTCTGTACTCAACGTGTATATGTCTACCATATTTAAAATTCAGACGATGATTTTCATCTTAAAAACATACTTCTTCTTCCTTTTTTTTTTTTTTTCCCTCTAGTAATTTGATGCCTATTTTGAGCAGCATCTAGCAGAGTGGTTTGAAAGCATTAAGAAAACTAGAGTCATTTTTAATACCAATTAAAGGGACTCTAGTTAGTTACCTCAATCTGTTCCCATGCTACGTAAATTTGTGTTTTCATTTTTAGAACGCTAACTTGTGTTTCATCTTCTTCCTGAATATATTGTATTTGATGAACATGAATCAAGGTTCAAATTTGGAGGTGAACCCTTGCACAATCACGATGGTGATTTCTGTAGCAACCTACCAAGTGAGTAGTAATCTTTTGGTTCTTGAATCAATTATGACCTATTAGTATGTCTTTGAAATAATGTTGCCTCCTACATTTTCAAGGTTCATCCAAGATAGGTGTTATCCAGAATGTAGAGGACCTAGCGATCAATGCACGTCGTAGACTAGTTGAACAGTCAAGTAACCTCGTTACTTTGCCTGCCAATGTCAGGCCACCATCAGATCACATCTATGCCCTTCCGAGCACCAGAAGTAGTGGATCGTTTCCTGCCGTACCAAATAAGAATAAACTAAATTCTCCTCCAGCATCTTTGCCTACTCAACCTCCACAACAGGAGTCTAATAACATGACTTATCCTGCTGGAAATTCCTTTGGCACTGTTAATCAACCAACTGATAAGCAGTCTTTGACTGGTGGAAAATCTGGAACACTATGGAAGTATATAGTTGGGATTTCTAGTGGAATTTTCTTGTTCATTGTTGCACCAGCCATGTTTATCATCTATAGAAGCAGAGCAGCAAGAGCAATAACTCCTTGGAAGACCGGATTGAGTGAGCAGTTGCAGAAAGCACTTATTACAGGTATGTTTTCAACATGTGATCTGGAAATTTAAGGCTCCTATCATAATTGTCACCTTAACTAGGACAATTTGATTATGATCATGTTCTTTTGATTTGTCAAGCCCATTTAGACTTGAGTACATTGAAAATATTTCAAGTATGTTTCACCAGCTGGAAATTTTATTTTGATTCCCATTAATTTTGTATTTGTAATCAAATATGAATATAGAACTTATCAAACATACCCCCATAAGCCCAATAACAAGTCATTTTTGCATGGGAAAGCACTAATAAATCAAATGCAAAAGGAAAAGGGGTCATGGGAACCAATTCCTAGAGAACTTATTACAATGAAAAGAATTTAAAGGTCATTTTGTCTCGCAAATATAATTTGTAACTTTCTCTTTTCTAAATTCTTTCTTGAATTGAATATCACCAGAGGTGCCAAATGTTACTTCTTTTTAGAACTATTCAAAACATGACCTAAATATTTCCTCACTATTAAATCTTTTTTAACATCCTTTTCGAAGATTGGTCCAATATATTTTTCCATCCATCTTTTTATAGTGGCTTCAGTAGTCTTTGGCTAAATGATACGCTAAAGCATGTTCATAATGTTGGAATCAGTATGCAGTGCTCATAGTCGCTACTGAATTGTCACAAGTCTACTTAAAATGTTAAATGATTTCTCAAATTATCCTAGATTATGTAAGTAGCTATGCAACTGCTGCCTGGTTTCATTTTAATTATTAGAAATATATATATCAAACTGTATGGAAAATATGATCTCAAAACTACATGCTTTAATTTGCAGGGGTCGCTAAATTGAACCGAACTGAGCTAGAAACAGCATGCGAGGATTTTAGCAATATCATTATTACATATGATGATGTCTCAAATTATCCTAGATTATGTAAGTAGCTATGCAACTGCTGCCTGGTTTCATTTTAATTATTAGAAATATATATATCAAACTCTGTGGAAAATATGATCTCAAAACTACATGCTTTAATTTGCAGGGGTCGCTAAATTGAACCGAACTGAGCTAGAAACAGCATGCGAGGATTTTAGCAATATCATTATTACATATGATGATTTGGCCACCGTATTCAAGGGTACTCTATCCAGTGGAGTAGAGATTGCTGTTGTTTCAACCACTATAGCTTCTTTAAAGGACTGGTCAAAACGTTCTGAATTGGCTTATCGAAAGAAGGTTAGTCAATAATTTTTGCACTGGAAGGTTAATCATAAATCACTTACTGATTTTCCTTTTGTTACTTCAATAGATTGACACTCTGTCCAAAGTGAATCACAAGAATTATGTTAATCTTATTGGATACTGCGAGGAGGATGCACCATTCATTAGGATGATGGTTTTTGAGTATGCTCCAAATGGCTCTCTTTTTGAGCACCTGCATGGTAATTTTGTTGGTCATGTGAATTCTTGTGCTAGTAATTTATTTATGTGATTTTGCTGCTTTTCTACAAGATAAAATGTTTCATTTTGGTTTTCAGTTAAAGGAGTCGAGCATCTCGATTGGAATGCAAGGATGAGGATCATAATGGGGATATCTTACTGCCTTCAATACATGCATTATCTAAATCCACCGGTGGCACATTCCAACTTGACTTCTAAAGATATATTTTTGACAGATGATTATGCTGCTAAAGTATGACTTGTCACTTCATGAATGTTGATGAAATATTCATAATATTTGTATCTACATGCATATTATATGTAGAAGTTTATTTCATTTTAATGAGAGAATGCACTCTTTCACAGATTGGAGAAGTTGGTTTCTGGGCAGAACTTGTGGCCAAGTCGAAGAATTTGGTAGAAACTGACTCAGAGCATTCTGAATTTCCACCACTAGCTCATCTTGATACAAATATTTACAGCTTTGGAATTCTGTTGCTCGAAATAATTTCTGGAAAGCTCCTCTCTTCGAATGAACACGGAACTATCTTAAATTGGGTATATGTCCATTGAGTGTTCTATTGATTTTCACATATTTGGATGAGGTATATTTTGTTATATAACCAAGGTTATTTTTCGACTTATACCAGGCAACTGAATACTTGAATGATATGAGCAGCGTCAACTCCTTGATCGATCCAACTTTGAAATCCTTCAAAAATAACGAACTCGATGTAATCTGTGAGGTAATTGGAGGTTGCATTCAGCAAGATACTCGAAAGAGACCTTCGATCAAGGAAATCATTCAAAAATACCGTTTTTATTTTCTTTTCTTTTCCCTTTTTTTTTTTTTTTTTGTTTTGTTTTTTTTTCTTGTGCTGTAAAATGTAAATGCCATTGAATTTTACTGATTGCATGGGAAGTACCAGAACTTCCTGAGTGCCTCTGCAGGAGGAATCGCCAAATTTTGTAACTAGTGCAATATATATGTTTACGGAAAAAAGGAAAATATCATCCAATTTTTTATTATTTGATGAATCTGTCATTGTGAAGGTAATACATAAGTATTCGGTACCTAGACCTTGTCTGACAGAACTTTTGCTGCTTATAGGAAGTTATTTTAAAACAACTTCTTTCAAAAATGTCTTTAATTAGACAAAGTACTTTCAAAAAATTATCAAACACGATTAAAAATAATTTTTTTTTTTTTTTTTAGTAGTAACTTTTGACTTTTAAGTCTGCCAAACATGTCCTCATTATTCTTATTGAAAGCTAAAAACACACCCCTCTCCATCCCCACCATATTTTATTACACTGAATAATTGTTCCACAAAATCTTCATTGATATTGCAACTCTTAATTCTCTCTCTTTTCCCCCTATTTTCTCATATGAATATGAAGCATTGAAATAGCAGCAAAGAATTTCCCACATTGTATTGGAGTCGGTACATCCAACGCTCCATTGAGTGTCGTCAGCCTTGCACAATCAACCATTTTCACCAATTTTCCTAACCAGAAAGTAAGCCTGTCAATGCCGATTCCAATATCATCAACCTGAGTCATTGCTAAGCCACCACGGTGCATGACTCGGCTCTCTAGCATGGCTAACTCGACCGCTTCCATCTGCTGCCGGTCCATTTCTCTCCTCGCCATGTCCTCCTCCACTTTGATCTTCTCTCTCAAAGCTTCAATTTTTTTCATCTGTTCGTCAGTCATACCTGCTAGACTTGCACCAGGTGTTTGAGCTTTTGTGAGTGAGTCAATGAGTTGAAAAGCCATTGATGGCTTCCAACCAATGATCAAAAGATAGGCATTCTCGAGTGGACTTCGCCGAATTGGGGCTGTTTCGCGCGTGTTAATTCGCTAACAATTAAAGAGGATCAGACGATTGTGTAAGGGACGAAACCTCTTGAGACAAAGTCCCAAAAAGGGGTGTTCTTTTTATTGGCGATGAACTTTACAATTGGAAACGGAAAACAACGTGCCTCCAAGGGGCGCAAGCACACGAGTTACAGAAAAGGAAATGTTTAAGTCTAAAAGTTAAAGGAATGAAAATTACATATTCTCTGTTCGAAAGTTTTGGATTCGGTCCCTTTCTTCTAAGTTCTTTCTCCCTTTTATACTTCATAGGCGATCCCTTTGTAATTAACTGCTCTAAAAAAACTGCTTGATCGCCCTATAACTACCCACTTTCTTTGTAGTGGCCATTTTGTCATGAAACTGTCTTTTTAACTGCTGCCATTATCTTGCATCGTTCAAC